CATTCTTTGCCTCAGTGAGGGCAAAGTATACAACCTTGACTCCAACCTCCAGCTGATGCAAAGCTTCATTTTATGCCCCCGTGAAAGATAGACCTTGTGCATTGATTATCTAATTATAGACCATCGGCATCAGCACTACACTTCCAATAAAACAATCCCTGACAATAAGGGGTGAAATGTGAGCAAAAAGGGGCAAACTTGGTCAGCAACAATACTTAGGTATAGTGTGACATTCAAATAATACTTCTTTGGTATCAGGGGCCCTAATGTAAGCCATAAGACAATTTACACCATTGTACAACAGTCTGAAATGTTGACAGGAGAGTAGATGGATCCATGATCATAAATCACTTTGCGGTGCTTCCTTCTGCCTAAATCAAGCCATTGGGCCCGTAAATGTTTTATAAATCGTTCTCAGTTTTGGCAATGTGGTGCCCACTATATCCTCCTTTCCCTGTTCTTAGCTGACAGAAGTGGGACTCGTCCTGGTCTGTTGTGTCCTGACGCTTGTCTTCACACCGCTCTGGTAAGGAGCAATTATTGAACTATTTGTCGTCTTACTGACAGTTCCAACACATCAGATGAATGTCCTAAGACTTCCCTAATAAGCAAGGTGTTTTTATCTACAGAACTACTGCTACCTCAACGGGTTTTCCCCCCAAAATGTCTAAAGCTGGCCATACAATGTCCTAGTTTTATTCGTTCAACCCTGTGGCTGAATAAAACAAATAGAACAGATTCCTCCATCAAAGCTTTGGCAGCATCGATGGAGGAATCCCCGCTGTTTACTTTGTATTCTGACAGAGGTCGCTGGCCACTGTCAGAATACCTGAACAGAGCTGGCAGCTCATTGGCTGCTGGCCTTTGTTTGTTGGAAGATCTTCTGAGTGGCTCCTTCAATCAGCTGATTGAGGGATGCCGGCCAAATTGGTGCCGTCAGGAAGCTGCCAAAATTCACAAAATCTATGGCCACCTTAAGATGCTGCCACCAACAATCATTCCCTGGTTAAAGTTCACACATCCACATTTCAGCATTCTCCATTATTGAGCTGACCCCTAAGGTCTCGTTCACACCTAGGCGTATTGCATATGCGCGATTCGCGGTAAAAAAGTCGCGCAACAAACGCGCGTTTCCGAAGGCTACTTGGCTGTATCCCAATGGAAACGCACAACAAAACGGCCCAAAGTAGTCCCGGCACCTTTCCAGGCGCGGGCCGCTTTGTAGCGCGTTAGGGACGGGCGGAAATATCGCCAAGGTGGGAACCAGACCATTGAATACAATGCGATTTATATGTTGGAGCGTTTTGTAGAGCGTTCGTCGTGCGTAGAACCCGCCGCAAAACGTTCCGGTGTGACCGAGGGCTGACCCTAAAAAGTGGTCACTATGTGTAGAGTGGTTATACCTTCCCTATGCCTTGTGTCTGCCCTCCAAACATTTCACCATTTTACCTGGTTTGGGAATGACACAATGTTTCATCCGACAATACAGCTTCTTCCGACGGTACAACAACAATGACATGACGAGGGAAGGAAAAAGAGAACGATATAAAGAGAGGAAAAGGGAAGAAGGAAGAGGAGGAGGAGAGAGAGATAAAGTCAGAGAAGGGGGAGAGATACAAAGTCAGAGAAGGGGGAGAGATACAAAGTCAGAGAAGGGGAGAGATATAAAGTCAGAGAAGGGGAGAGATATAAAGTCAGAGAAGGGG